TATTATATGTGTGTATCTAGTTACATTGCTAGGTATAATGTAACACAAACGAATCTTTCTGTGCTGGCAAAGTCTAGAGGTTTAATAGGCTGTCCGCGCTGCTAAACTGCTTCTCCTCTGGGGAGTTCTTGATCTAGGGAATTGGATCTGTGCTCCAGTTCACTAAGTTGAGCCTAAATGCCTTCCATTTCTTCCCCTCCCCCCCAGGTGCTGTATAATCCCAACGGGTTTAACACTCCCCTATAATAATTGCTAAATAAACTGCTTGTTTCCTTGTTTGCCTTGTGGGACGGAGGCAAGCCAGGAAAGAAATATCTGATCTCGCACCTGCAGCCATTATTGCTTCAATCTCTTTCCTTGGCTGGAGATCGAGGCAACACCTCCACTCGACACTGGGAGAACGCTGTGCTCCACTTTTGTCATGTAGACTCGGTGGGTGTACCAGAGCATACATTTCGCATTGTGCAACGCTGTTCAGAGCTTTATTTAGAACTAGTGATTTTTGACATTTCAGAAGCTTTCGTAAGACACAACGCTTCAAGTCCCAAGTCCAACTCGAGACCTAGTTTGTTATGACTAAAATCTACGCACTGAGTCGCTGAACTTAATTATGTGGGAGTTTTTGTTTCCCCCTTATATGGAAGACTTGTCGATTTTTCCCAGTTAGGGTCGTTTTGTATTTCATTTCCTGCCTGATGCTGTGAAACTTAACGGCTGCTTCGTGCATTTTGCCGTTTGGCAAACTGGTCACTTTACTGTTCAAAAAAAAGCTGAGCTTGTTGCCTACTGTTCATATTACTGAAACTGTTCATCTAATGTATAGGAGGCTAATTCCGCTGTTACTTTTAACACCGTTTATTGTCACATTAAAAATCATACCCGGGCCGGGATTGAACCCGCGGTCATAGTCTCAAAACTCCAGCCCATCGCGTTAGCCACTAGACCAGCTAGCCACAATAAGATACGTCCAACTAGGTATATTTCTACACCATAGGAAGGTTAGCACAGGCACCACTGTGACCACAAATGCAAGTTTTTACAGATGAATCTCCAGCTAGCATGGCCGTGACGAACTCTAGCTCAAGTCCCTTCACTGCCGTCAACATGACTCACGAAATCGTAATGACACGATTGCAAATAAACCATACCCCGGCCGGGATTGAACCCGCGGTCATAGTCTCAAAACTCCAGCCCGTCGCGCTAGCTGGAGATTCGTCTGTAAAAACTTGCATTTGTGGTCAGTGGTGCCTGTGCTAACCTTCCTATGGTGTTGAAATATACCTAGTTGGACGAATCTTATTGTGGCTAGATGGTCTAGTGGCTAACGCGACGGGCTGGAGTTTTGAGACTCTATGACCGCGGGTTCAATCCCGGCCGGGGTATGGTTTGTTTGCAATCGTGTCATTACGATTTCGTGAGTCACATTAAAGTTCTCTTGACTTATTCAGCGCTGTGTAGCCCTTGTGGGTTAGCGCTTCTTTTTGATTATAATAACTTTTATTTGGTGATTTTTCCCATTTTATTTCCCCAAGCCTTATTTTTGTCTGAAAAGTGCTATTAAAAACTCAGTAAGGTAAAGGATAATGAGCCAAGATTGAGGATTCGGGAACTGTTACAAAGTTAGAAACAGGCTAGATGCTAGAGGGATATTAATAGGTTGTCCTAGTATTTTCTGTCAGATGTCTATGCTAATAAATGTCGCATCTGTAACGTGCAGTATATATTCATTTATACAAAGTGTACATTTCGTATATGCATACGTATGCATACATACGCAGAAGCGTATATATGAACATGCATGCAGTACATACATGACAATATGAATACATTTCGATATTTTGTTTCATTAGAAATTAATCACCACAGTGTATTCCTTTTATGTTCATTGAGGTAGAGGCAGCTAGGCTTATAGAATACGCAGACACCTTTTTCGGATCTCGCTGCGACCGAAATGCATCCAGTTATAATGTTGCTAAAACAACAAACCTTTTGTGGGTCGTTCTGAACAAGAAGTGGTGGAGGCTCAATCCTCCGTTCGGTAAACGCGGGCAAGAAACACTGGCCATCATTACATAATAGATAAGCATCTCTAAAGCCTGATAATATGAACATGCATGCAGTACATACATGACAATATGAATACATTTCGATATTTTGTTTCATTAGAAATTAATCACCACAGTGTATTCCTTTTATGTTCATTGAGGTAGAGGCAGCTAGGCTTATAGAATACGCAGACACCTTTTTCGGATCTCGCTGCGACCGAAATGCATCCAGTTATAATGTTGCTAAAACAACAAACCTTTTGTGGGTCGTTCTGAACAAGAAGTGGTGGAGGCTCAATCCTCCGTTCGGTAAACGCGGGCAAGAAACACTGGCCATCATTACATAATAGATAAGCATCTCTAAAGCCTGATAAGACAGTAGAGGAAGTAGAAAGGCAGTTTGAGGTGTTCAGTCTGTGTCCCTTAGCCTAATAAACCGGAAATGTAAAAAATGACCTTTCTACTTACACTGTTTCAATCTGTACGAGAGTCGCCTCCCTATTCAACTGAAGGAGTCTAGTGCGCAGTACAAGACTAAACGTCTCGGCAGTAACGATACCCAAGTATTGCACACATCTTAATTATGACTATCTAGTACTCGCCTATACTATGTCCACCTTACTGTCACACTAATCTGCAACCGAATGTAGTTTTATGCTTGTTTATATTCATTTAGTTCGTGTCCTTGGTAGCCGGCAAATTTATTACTTCTTAATTTCTTGCCTTTGTCATAGGAATTTCTTGCCTTTGTTTCAATCCGTCGTTCCCAAGTTCTTCAAGATGGATAGTCATTTTCAGAGGTTCATTGTCTTGGACGAGAAGAAGAGCATCATTCATCCTCATGTTCTTATTTGGGCAAATGTTTTGTTAGTGGGATGAATTGTAAAGACCTGCCAACAGGCCTCCTGCAGTGTTTCTCCTTTCTTATGTTCTTATGTGGCTTTCAATTCATGCCTAACAATTTTGAAATGAAGCTTTGAGCGAGGCTTTGGTCCGTCCTGGCCCACTCGCTACTTGAAAGTGGTCCATGATTGACCGAAACAGTGTTAAGCTTCAACTCAAAATTATGGGCTAGTCGTGAATTGCTCCAGCTACGGTAATGTGACTTATTTTATCTTAACTTCCAATATTTCTTTCCTCCTCCCTCTACTTTCACCACCTCTTCGTGTCCATGTTGAGATTTTTGTACACACGGTTCCAAGCTTCACAAACTTCTGCAAATACTCTTCTGTATATAATGTGCACAGGACTTGTGTACGTTTCCTGTGTACAGTAACTGTATGTACACATAAAAAAACTGACTCGTTCCGAAAAAAACTTTAAGAAATCAGCGTTTCCAAACTCTCTTGAGCTTCATATATTATTCATCTCTCGAAAAAAAACCCTCAAGGAAGGTTCCTTGATGTTGGTGAGGGGCTCTTGATTTAGGGAATTGGATCTATGCTCCAGTTCCCCAAATTAAGCCTGAATGCCTTCCACATACCCCCCCAGGCGCTGTATAATCCTCCGGGTTTAGCGCTTCCCCCTTGATTGTAATAATAATAATAATCTCGAAAAAAAAATAATGAATCACAATACAGTGGCTGAAACAATTCTAAGGTTCGAACCATCGTCGTAAGGTTTCTTACCCATGTACGGTTTTTTGGTGAATTACACTGCTTGAAATTTGTGTGAATTTGTGTTGTTGGTTTGAGTTGCATTAGGGATTAATGAATTGTATTCGTGGATGAGTTGTATTAGAGACGGATGAAAGGTATTGTGGGTGGATTAGCTTTTTGGGAGTGGTTGACTTTACCTTGTTGGTAGTCGAATTTTTCAAACCATAGCCATTTATGGGGGGGGAGGGTGTCAATGTTGAAGGGTATTTAATCCAAACAATTAGAGCCGAACAACGTTCCCTCTGATCAAAACTAATTATTTTCCATTCAACAGGTTTAACGCTTCCCCATAAATACAATTATTTTATTAATAATAATCCAGACTACAGTTTAGTTTGGTAACCTCTCAGTGTTCCAGTTAATTTATTAAATAAAGGGATTTTAAAAAGTGCAAAAATCCTCCATTGGGTGAACTGATATTTAATTCATGTGAAGCGTTTAATTCGTGTGGATCATTTAGTGCAAAGAGTGTTGAAGGCTCGCTCCTCCTTCCGCGAATCTCCAGAAAGACGTCACATGCTTTCTAATAAGGCAGCAAGGAAATGGCGCAGCTTCGTTACCCGTGTTGACATTTACAAAACTCGAATAATTCATTTATTTTACGTGAGTTTCAAGAAGTGTCCGCGGCTGGTTGGTGGGGAAGGGAGCAAAGAGGAGGAGATACGAGGCAAGGGAGGGTAAAGTGGAAGGGAGAGTATACATGTACAGATTAAGTGGGAGGGAAGATTGATTGGGAGGGGTGTTGAGGATGGGGTTGGGATGACAGTTTGGTTAGTGCTGCTGCTGTGAGAGGAACAGCACCAGCATGTGTGGCTGTCACTACACACACTCCAGTCTCGCTCTCCTCTTGGCCGCTGCAGCCATCATTGCCAAAGGTAGGATTTATATATATATATATATATTTTATATTTTCATAATCTAGGCTCGTCACAACAGAGTACGCTGATTTTAGATTTTCATTGCCAAATTAATTTCCTTAGTCATGTGATGACACACACAGCAGAGATTTAAATTATTTGACCAAAGTTTGCTGCTAGAGGCAACCCCGTTTTTTATTTTATTTTTACCGTTCGTGAGAAAATGTACGCTTGACTTGTATGCCACCCTGTTTTTAATTTCGTTAATTTATGGTAACTATACAGATAATTAAATTAATATATATTAATCAAATTCAGGACTACAGGTGCAGTAGTAATAACCCTTTATAAAGTATGAGTTCCTAGGGTAAAGAGGGTAATGGTATAGAAGTAATAACCCCTTCCATTGGGGCTGTTCACCTACAGGAGGTGAGGAAGAGGCTCGAGTGTTCTCACTTCAGCCTGACATCTGGAAGCCTCCCCGGGATGACGTCTTCATCACTTTCAACATGAGTTTACTAAGGACGGCAACTTTGGGCCTCAGCGAACTCACTATTTGCTCGAGGGTGTTCTTCACTGGTCTCACTACCCAGCAGGTCGTCCTCTCCTACGCCACAGCTGACACCGTAGACAACGCCATCATGATGTGTAACAGCTTTAAAATGTTTTTGTCTGTTTTTTTAAACTGAAGGAATAGGAAAACTCCAACTCACAAACATTCCTGGTGTTTCAACTTACAAACAAGTTATGTTCACGGTGTTTGAACTTTTAAGCTAATTTTATTCCTTGTGTATGAACTAGTTTCATATATACGTGCCATTTTTATTTAAAAAAATGAGCTCTCAAACCTGTATTGGTATTACCAACACAGGTACTGATAGATAACATGTTCAGGACGATATCTTTCACCTGAAGTTTTTTAGGTTCCCATTTATTCCCACCACCAATAATATTAACAATATATACATTGCTTTGGCAGATGTATAATTAGGTTATGGAGAGAGTGCAAAAATGAGCACGCTTACAGAATTATATACTCGTATAGAGACAAAACTCTAATGTGTGTTAATCAGCATGGCGTTAGTGAGAGACTGACCTCCAGACCAGCAGTTAGTTACAGGGCCAGCTAGCCTGGAGCTCTATCCCCACTATGCTTACATGACCTCAAACAATGGGTAGTTTGTCCTCGATTATAGGTGGCAGCCCCAACACTTGTATCGACAATAAGCTACTAAGCTTTTGCATGACTGCATGGCATGCAGGATGTGCAGGTATGTAGTCCACACTCAAAAACCATGCAGTCGGTGCATGCCAAATTGGGTGAAACGTCACTTCAGTTGATATCATAGTAAGCAATTGGACATTTTTTTTATATTATACACTTTCCTGGTATATATCAGCAAAAGTAAAAACTTAATTGCTTCGTAAGAACCTGTTTCATATATTGTAAAGATTTGATGAACATATTTTAAATTACATAAGGCATAATTTAGAAATTTAGGGACAAGGACTAGTTAATTGTTAGAAAAGTTGGGTCTAACTTACCTAAATTATTTTAGCTAGCTTACGTTAAGACTATGGGAAATTTCACCAAATGTCTTTCTTTCATGATATATCTCATTTCACTTTTTGATGTGAAGATATCGAGGATGGCGCACACGTTTTCCAGTACAACAATAAGCCTCAGCCGGTCATCGAGAGAGTGTCACTGCCGACAGTGCTGCGTAAGTGGCGGCACTACTGCCACGTATTCTCCGGGGACACGTATAGCGTGTACGTGGACGGTGTGGCACTCGCCAATGGACCCATCCAGGTAGACGACCGCATACTTCAACTTAATGGCACCTTCGTCGTCGGCCAGGAACAAGATAAGATATCTGGAGGTTATAGCAGATTCCAAATTCTTAAGGGCTACACCACTCAGATTAATATATGGAACTATGGTGTCTCCAGCAGAGATATAGAAGACATCGCTAATTGTAGGAGAAACATATTAGGAAATGTCGTCTCTAGTGATAGAGAAAATTTTGAGCTTATGAATGTGCAGGTAAACATGGTATCTCTGTGGAAATTTTGTGGCGATGACGAGAAATTTGTTATATTCCCTGAGGCTCGAACTTTCGCAGAATCGGTCAAATTTTGTAATCTCGTCGGGTCGAACATGTATGCACCATCGAACAAGAAGGAAAACAGTGACTTGAACCAGACGTTGTGGGAGGAAAATATGTGTGAGCAAGTTGATCTATGGGTCGGAGTGACAGATGAGGAAGAAGAAGGTGTATGGAGAGCTGTTAGTGATGGTAGGATAGTGACAGATATATATTTCACTCATGGCCAGCCCGATAACTCTAGGGCAGAGAACTGTATTATTATGTACGCAAGACAGGCCAGCTGGAATGACTTTCCATGCCTAACCCTTAAAGCTTGCGTATCATGTGAAGAGAAACTGCATGTCCCACTCATCCTTCGTGGAGCCTGTATGGAATGGAGAACTCAAACAATGTTTGAAGTAATTGGCTACAATTCTCACAGAACATTTTTTCATGGGTTTTACGGTCTCATGATTTACAGAACCAGTGACCAACAGTGGATTCTCTTTGATACGCTGACTAACAAGACTCAGGCTGTTCTCAGTATTGCGTCCAGTAACTTATACCCTCTCGGTAGACATGAATGGTTGTTGGTTAATCCCATGTGCGATCGTCCAGTCGGCAGCAAGGTGGAGCTGAGTTTGTCGGTGTGTAAGGACGGACAGTACATGTGTGTCAACGGAGAATGCATCGATTTAGCTTCTCGCTGCGACGCCAAAAATGACTGCAGCGACGAGTCAGATGAAGACAACTGTTCCATCCTTCAGATCCCCGATGGCTACCGTAGTTTTAAACCTCCTAAGAACCTCGACGACGCAACTCAACCTCTTCAGCCCTTTCTCACACTCTTGTTCCTTCGCTTCCTCTTGATTGATGACGTACAGGAGACAATCAATCTTGAGTTTATAATCGACGTAAGCTGGACAGATTTAAGACTTAAATATCAAAATCTTCGCTCTGATATGCTGGCGAATCAACTATCCGAGCAAGAGGTGAAGGATATTTGGAGGCCACAGCTACAGTTCCCTAATATAAGAGATGGTGACTTGAAGTTACTTAAAGAAAATGTTTATGTTAATAAAGTCAACGATTCATTGCCTGTTGACTTTAATGCTGTGAAGATGGGTAAGTACTCCAGTAGCTCACGAGTTGCTAATAATGATAAATTACAAAAATACGTCTATGCATAATACTTATACGTATAAGTGTTGTAGTGTAATTTTGTCATAATTTTGTCACAACTTCTAAGAAGCTAAAATATTTTGATTGATTTAAAATATTTCAACCAATACCATACAATAATCCTTACTGTAAGATGACTCGCAGACGAAATATATGGAGGCGCTGCAGCTGAGATCGTACAGCGTCAGCACTACAGCGGCAGCTTCGTGTGTGATTTCAGCGTGTTCTATTACCCCTTCGACGTGCAGCGATGCAACGTATTGGTGCAACTGACCTCCGTCAGCAGAGAACTGGTTGCCTTTACGAAGCAGAAGTCTGCCGCTGAGTGTAGGAAGGACATGAATCTGCCTAGGTACCTCGTGAGTGACTTGTATACCCAAATCTCCAACAACCAGACCAGAGAGGCACTGATAGAGGTGATTATGTTGAGATTTCAAGGTTGATTTCGGATCTATACGTGTTTGCTCAGAAGAGGTCAGAAAGAAGTTAGTAAAAAGTCAATAACTTTAGATTACACTCAGTATGAGGGATTATAATGATGTGAGGTGATTAAAAAGTTAAGGTAGGCTGGTTCTTATCAAGCCATCATAATTCATCCCTTTGCTTTTTTGATCATTCAAGCATCACCTTTTGCAGACTGGGTTGACATCTTTTTCCATTCCAACATAAGCTTCTGTTAATAATCTATATCCAACTTGTGTGCAAAAGTTTTATTTAGAGAATTTGATAGCTGCGACATCCAGTTCGAGGAACGGACCCACCTTAACCACACATCTCTCGTTCATCGTTTGTGAGAGCCATCCAGCTCAATATTGATAATTATTGTCTATATTAATCCATATCAGTTGAATACTTTACCTTTGTATGTCATTATATGTCAGCTAGGTCTGTATAGTTGTATCATGTACCTGTAGAAATAAGTATTATTTTTTTTTTCAACAAGTCGGCCGTCTCCCACCGAGGCAGGGTGATCCAAAAAAGAAAGAAAATCCCCAAAAAGAAAATACTTTCATCATCATTCAACACTTTCACCACACTCACACATTATCACTGCTTTTGCAGAGGTGCTCAGAATACAACAGTTTAGAAGCATATACGTATAAAGATACACAACATATCCCTCCAAACTGCCAATATCCCAAACCCCTCCTTTAAAGTGCAGGCATTGTACTTCCCATTTCCAGGACTTAAGTCCGACTATATGAAAATAACCGGTTTCCCTGAATCCCTTCACTAAATATTACCCTGCTCACACTCCAACAGATCGTCAGGTCCCAAGTATCATTCGTCTCCATTCACTCCTATCTAACACGCTCATGCACGCTTGCTGGAAGTCCAAGCCCCTCGCCCACAAAACCTCCTTTACCCCCTCTTTCCAACCCTTTCGAGGACGACCCCTACCCCTCCTTCCTCTATAGATTTATATGCTTTCCATGTCATTCTACTTTGATCCATTCTCTCTAAATGACCAAACCACCTCAACAACCCCTCTTCTGCCCTCTGACTAATGCTTTTATTAACTCCACACCTTCTCCTAATTTCCACACTCCGAATTTTCTGCATAATATTTACACCACACATTGCCCTTAAACAGGACATCTCCACTGCCTCCAACCGTCTCCTCGCTGCTGCATTTACCACCCAAGCTTCACATCCATAAAAGAGTGTTGGTACTACTATACTTTCATACATTCCCTTCTTTGCCTCCATAGATAACGTTTTTTGACTCCACATATACCTCAACGCACCACTCACCTTTTTTCCCTCATCAATTCTATGATTAACCTCATCCTTCACGTCAACTCCCAAGTATCTGAAAACATTCACTTCTTCCATACTCCTCCTCCCCAATTTGATATCCAATTTTTCTTTATCTAAATCATTTGATACCCTCATCACCTTACTCTTTTCTATGTTCACTTTCAACTTTCTACCTTTACACACATTCTCAAACTCATCTACTAACCTTTGCAATTTTTCTTTAGAATCTCCCATAAGCACAGTATCATCAGCAAAAAGTAACTGTGTCAATTGCCATTTTGAATTTGATTCCCCATAATTTAATCCCACCCCTCTCCCGAACACCCTAGCATTTACTTCTTTTACAACCCCATCTATAAATATATTAAACAACCATGGTGACATTACACATCCCTGTCTAAGACCTACTTTTATCGGGAAGTATTCTCCCTCTCTTCTATACACCCTAACCTGAGCCTCACTATCCTCATAAAAGCTATTTACAGCATTTAGTAACTTACCACCTATTCCATATACTTGCAACATCTGCCTCATTGCTCCTCTATCCACTCTATCATATGCCTTTTCTAAATCCATAAATGCAATAAAAACTTCCCTACCTTTATCTAAATACTGTTCACATATATGCTTCAATGTAAACACTTGATCTACACATCCCCTACCCACTCTGAAGCCTCCCTGCTCATCTACAATCCTACATTCTGTCTTACCTCTAATTCTTTCAATTATAACCCTACCGTATACTTTTCCTGGTATACTCAGTAAACTTATTCCTCTATAATTTTTACAATCTCTTTTGTCCCCTTTCCCTTTATATAAAGGGACTATACATGCTCTCCGCCAATCCCTAGGTACCTTCCCCTCTTTCATACATTTATTAAACAAAAGTACCAACCACTCCAACACTATATCCCCCCTGCTTTTAACATTTCTGTCATGATCCCATCAGTTCCAGCTGCTTTACCCCCTTTCATTCTACGTAATGCCTCACGTACCTCCACCACACTTACATTCTGCTCTGCTTCACTCCTAAAAGATGGTATACCTCCCTGGCCAGTGCATGAAATTACCGCCTCCCTTTCTTCCTCAACATTTAAAAGTTCCTCAAAATATTCTCGCCATCTACCTAATACCTCCCTCTCCCCATCTACTAACTCCCCTACTCTGTTTTTAACTGACGAATCCATACTTTCCCTAGGCTTTCTTAAATTGTTTAACTCACTCCAAAATTTTTTCTTATTTTCATTAAAATTTCTTGACAGTGCCTCTCCCACTCTTTCATCTGCTCTCCTTTTGCACTCTCTCACCACTCTCTTCACCTTTCTTTTACTCTCCATATACTCTGCTCTTCTTATAACACTTCTGCTTTGTTAAAACCTCTCATAAGCTACCTTTTTCTCTTTTATCACACCCTTTACTTCATCATTCCACCAATCACTCCTCTTTCCTCCTGCCCCCACCCTCCTATAACCACAAACTTCTGTCCCACATTCTAATACTGCATTTTTAAAACTATTCCAACCCTCTTCAACCCCCCCACTACTCATCTTTGCACTAGCCCACCTTTCTGCCAATAGTCGCTTATATCTCGCCCGAACTTCCTCCTCCCTTAGTTTATACACTTTCACCTCCCTCTTATTTGTTGTTGCAACCTTCCTCTTTTCCCATCTACCTCTTACTCTAACTGTAGCTACAACTAAATAATGATCCGATATATCAGTTGCCCCTCTATAAACATGTACATCTTGGAGCCTACCCATCAACATTATATCCACCAATACATAATCTAACAAACTACTTTCATTACGTGCTACATCATACCTTGTATATTTATTTATCCTCTTTTTCATAAAATATGTATTACTTATTACCAAATTTCTTTCTACACATAGCTCAATTAAAGGCTCCCCATTTACATTTACCCCTGGCACCCCAAATTTACCTACTACTCCCTCAATAACATTTTTACCCACTTTAGCATTGAAATCCCCAACCACCATTACTCTCACACTTGATTCAAAACTCCCCACGCATTCACTCAACATTTCCCAGAATCTCTCTCTCTCCTTCACTTCTCTCTTCTCCAGGTGCATACACGCTTACTATAACCCACTTTTCACATCCAATCTTTATTTTACTCCACATAATCCTTGAATTTATACATTTGTAGTCCCCCTTTTCCTGCCATAGCTTATCCTTCAACATTATTGCTACTCCTTCTTTAGCTCTAACTCTATTTGAAACCCCTGACCTAATCCCATTTATTCCTCTCCATTGAAACTCTCCCACCCCCTTCAGCTTTGTTTCACTTAAAGCCAGGACATCCAGCTTCTTCTCATTCATAACATCCACAATCATCTCTTTCTTATCATTTGCACAACATCCACGCACATTCAGACTTCCCACTTTGACAATTTTCTTCTTCTTATTCTTTTTAGTAATCTTTACAGGAAAAGGGGTTACTAGCCCATTGTTCCCGGCATTTTAGTTGACTTTTACAACACGCATGGCTTACGGAGGAAAGATTCTTATTCCACTTCCCCATGGATATAAAAGGAAAAGTAATAAGACCAAGAACCATTAAGATAAAATCAAAGAAAACTCAGATGAGTGTGTATTATTATTATTATTATTATTATTAAGTTATTATTATTATTATTATTATTTATTATTATTATTATTATTATTATTATTATTATTATTATTATTATTATTATTATTATTATTATTATTATTATTATTATTATTATTATTATATTATTATTATTATTATTGGTGGCCCGGTGGCCTGGTGGCTAAAGCTCCCGCTTCACACACGGAGGGCCCGGGTTCGATTCCCGGCGGGTGGAAACATTTCGACACGTTTCCTTACACCTGTTGTCCTGTTCACCTAGCAGCAAATAGGTACCTGGGTGTTAGTCGACTGGTGTGGGTCGCATCCTGGGGGACAAGATTAAGGACCCCAATGGAAATAAGTTAGACAGTCCTCGATGACGCACTGACTTTCTTGGGTTATCCTGGGTGGCTAACCCTCCGGGGTTAAAAATCCGAACGAAATCTTATCTTATCTTATTATTATTATTATTATTATTATTATTATTATTATTATTATTATTATTATTATACCTTATAAATTGACCCTTAGGCTGGGTAACACCCCTACCGTCATGTTCTACCCTTGATGTGGTGGTATGCCTCTCGGGTCAACCTTAATCGCTGACTTCTCCACAGGTGGGTTACTTGTTAACCAGAAGATTCACACTGATCGTTCTCTCCATCTACCTGCCCTCCGTGATGCTGATGGTTATAGGATACACAACTCTCTACGTTAAGGTTCAGATGCTGGATGTAAGTGTGTAATATGATGAAAGGGAATCGAACAGAGAAGATAGGAAGAGGTGAAAAAAATGGCAGGGATAATTAGAAGAGAGAAGTTGATAAAGCAAGTACGTTCTTGATAGGAATGGGATAAGGTTGGGAGAAATTGTGAAAATGAGCAACGAAGAGAAATTTTTTCTGATATTAAGGCCTTTATTTATGAGGTTTGAGTGAGTATGCTTGATTTTTTAGTGTGTATGGTGCTTGAAGCCCTTATACACTGTGTGTGTGTGTGTGTGTGTGTGTGTGCACTTCTGGAATCTAACAAATATATAATATTAATCTATAATTCCTCTCTCTCATAAAGGTACGTCTAGTCGTCAGTCTCACAACTCTGCTGGTCCTGTACACTTTCTTTAACCAGACCTCGACCTCGCTGCCCCAGACAGCCTACGTGAAGATGATCGACGTGTGGTTCTTCTTCTGCACTTCGCTTCTCTTCGTCATCATAGTCATCCACGTCTTCGTCGAGAAGCTTGCGTCTCATGGGAAAGACGCCGTTGAATACCTCGCTATTCCTCCTCGTCTGTCTCCCCTAAATCCTGCTGCTACGGTCTTCTTCGGGAAGGTTAGCGGAAAGCCACGACACTTGGGATGGGGAGAAGAAGAAACAGGGTCGTGGTTCTGGCAATATTCATCTACGTCTTCGTCGCGGCTGCGTCTACTGTGGAAACAATGGTATTCCTCCATGTCTGCTGAGATGCTATTGTTTGTTCTGCGGACCTACGTTGGACCTGTTGTTATCCTGGTGTTCTTCGTCTGCTACTGTTGTGTCATCTTCTCTTAGATGTTATCCTCCAAGAATAATACTGGTACTGTATATCCTCCTTGGATCATGTGTTCCTAGGATAACATTTATATCACTTTGAACCTCGATGTTATCTTCAGTTAGGCACTTTTATTGGCTGTGGCTTCTCCTGGTAAACACTGATATCTTGCCCTTGTATAACATTGCGCCCTGAAGCTTCATCCTTTAAAATAACGCTGGTTATTTTCATGTGGTGCCGCTCGGCTTATTTAGGTAGTTCCGCTATTTGCTCTGGTAAAGGAGGAGACGTAATCAATTGCAAATTTCGTGTTGCATAATATATATTCGCCTTTTATTTTCGTTTTACTCTTAAATGTTTTATTTTTAGTTCAAGATCAAATTTATTTTCATAGATGTTGCACCTTTAATGCATATTTTACTACTGTCTAACATTTCCTCTTAACGAGCACGCACGTGCACCATTCAATATCGAACTAAAGAGGACAATTAGATCATTGTACAAATATTCAGATATTATGAAGCGATGCTATCTTGTGTTTTGTTTATCCTAAATTAGTGTGTGTGTGTGGGGAGGGGGAATCTAAAAAGAAAACCAACTTCAGTTGAAGTTTCCTGTATTTTACAACTATATCAGAACAGTTAAGAAAGTTGTCTCACCTTTAGCAGACGGAAGTTTGAGCCTCCAGTATCCTACAGGGTTAATTTTTGCATATATGTGTCACCTTGCTCACTCTCAAGTCAAAGAATCCCTTTGCACGTAAGTTAATAGTTACCAAACCTTATTCTTTGGATAGCATTGAAAATGGGTTGGGCAAATATTTTTGTTAGTGGGTTTGAGAAGGACGTGCCTAGTATGGGCCAGTAGGCCTATTGCAGTGTTCCTTTACCTTCTAACACGTTCAGGCAAACTTGGTGTATGCTCAAGCCCCTAGCACTCAAAACCTCCTCTACATTTGAGCCTTTCCTGGGACAACCGCTACCTGCCCCTCATTCCACTCCAGATTTTTATGGTCATCATATTCTGCTATGTCCTGTCTAGGTGTCAAACCATCTCAAGAATCCTTCCTCATCCTTCTGAATTATGCCTGCGGTAACCTCACACTTAATTTCTACACTCCGAATTCTTGCATAATATTCACACCACACAGTGCTTAGAAACATGACATCTCTTCATCCATCCTCGTCGCTGCAACCTTTAAAACCCATGTCTCATGCCCATATACGTGCGTTGGTACCACTAAACTCTGGTGCACTTTCCTCGTTTGGCCTCCATAGATAAAGCTTCTTACCCTCCAATAAAATATAAAATATTTGTGGTAATGAAATGGAAGTCTGGAGCAGCAGGCAGTGTTTTTCATGGGCGTGGGAGGGGAAAGGAGGTCTTAATGCTCGCTTGTGAGGGGCTCTTGATTCAGGGAATTAAAGCTACTCTTCCCTGGAAGAAATTTTATTACCATCGGTTCCCTGGAAATAAGTCTGTGGAAAATAACAAGTAGTGTGAATCATAGTATTGTAATTGAGAGTGACTGTGATGAAAAGTATAATTGCAAGAAAATGGAGTAAATTTGATATATGTACGATTTAAGTGTTATTATTATTATTATTATTATTATTATTATTATATATTACTATATGTTACTATACTTACAAAAATTCCATAACCCTGTCTATTTTTTAGTAACATTGTAAATAATTTTGGTATTACATACAGTAGTGCATGTGTTCAAAACCAAGATTTAAGTTTACATGGTTTAGTTGACACTTATTGCATCTTCATCAATAAGTTTTTTACTTAAAATAGTTTTTATTACTTATAATTTTAACAGTGAAAGTAATTGGCTCTCATACACCGTCGAAGTCTCGATTTCTGACCATATCTCAGACAACTATCTTCCTTCTAATTTAAAAAAAAGTCCTTCAAATCAGCTTCATATTAAATACTGGAAGATAATTTGTTTTAGCTTCTATGTAGGCAAGTCTGGCTACAAGAGTAAAAAATTTGTCTGTCGCTAAACGAAGGATCGAGCTTCCACCACTCCTTGCACTTATCGACGAATATAATTTTGGTTTTCGAAATAATCTTTTAGAACGTGAGCCTTCACGATCTTTCAAAAGAAGGTGTAACGCTCCATAGCGTAAGCTCTAATTACCCAGCCAGGAAACTGACAGAGCTTTAAGTCTTGACTCACATAATTGCGGATATGTTCGCGGCCAAGTTTAATGACTTGTTGACATTTGGAAAACTTGAATAATTTATTTGAGTTTCAGATAATTTCATAGTTGTTAATGGGGAGAGGAGGGGTAAGGGAGGTGCCTCCATGTTTTTTTTTTTTTCACTCTATAGCGTGCGTGACAAGAAATCCTTGTGTATAGGACGCATGTTTTTTTTTTCACAGTACAGATTGCTACTTATTTAAAAACATGGATTCTCTTTTAGGAAGAAGCTAGTTTCAGAACCTTAGTGGCGGGGAGTTGGTTAGTCCCTACTGGGGAGTATTTTGTAAGTGCTAGCTAATTAGAAAACGATAGGAAACAACCTCCAAGCATTTCCCACATCTGGTTCACGGGACTCGTGTTGTTCCCCTGAGGTCAAGCCACGAGTGTTTATGGATTGCAGAGAAAAGACGGAGGAAATTGTGCATGAATATTAGGTCTGGTCCTGGACAGGACCGCAGGGTCCTTGGCCCCCGAAAACATCCTTTACGTATTCTTCAAGACCAGAGTAGGAAAGAAGTGGGACTGGAGGAGTGTTTTGAGTGAGGGGTAGGGGAGTGTGCTGGTGTGGGGAGAGCAAAGTATACATGTGCAAAGTAAGAGGGAGGGAAGATAGCCAGGGGAGGGAAGTGGGGATGGTTAACTGGTATTTGGGAAGACAGTTTGGTTGGTGCTGCTGTGAGAGAAACAGCATCAGTATGTCTGGTGGTCACTTCACAATCTCCTGCCTATATCTCCTCCTGGTTCCTGCATCCATCATTGCTCAAAGTAGGAGTTACACGTTTTTTAATTTTTTCACAAACCCTTGCTAATAATTTGTTTTGCTTTCCTATTTGTGGACGATTGTGGATGATTTTCTTCTATTTGCCCGTGTATTTACATACATATTTATTCATTTATCTGTGCTTGCCATAATATAGTTCCACCTGCTGGATTCTCCTATCACACTATTTGATCGTTGTGACGCATCACAAATCAATGTGGCTCGTCTTAGTGACACAGGAATTAACGTATGAACTTCCTTTCCCTGGAAGTCACACCTGCTTACTGCCCTCCGCTCTGAGGGCAGCAAGGTGGTGAACCTTATAAATGGTTCAGTCGTCATTTGTGCCATGACGTAGTCCCACTTCTTTCAAACAATGCCCTAACTAGAATTAAGTCTTCTCCACTTGCACTTCAAAATTCGATTCAATAATTACTTTTTCTGAAAGAATATATTAAAAATGGTTGTGGGTGGAAAGGAAGGAAAAGAGTGGTAAGAACGGTTAAATGGCAGGACCATTTTGAGGGGTTTAAAAGTATCTTTGTTTATTGTTCCCTAGTGATGAGTGGACTTTCATGATTTAGATCTGAATTAAATAGGAAAATTTTAGGGGAGTATATGTTTAGTAATAACAGTCCTTTGAAATTACCTAATGGACAGACAGTACAGGTGTCGAATAATCCTTTAGTATTCGGCTATAAGTATGGGGGGTTATAGGTTATAGGTTTCGTAACAGTTACCATCCTGGGGCTGTTCATTTACAGGAGATGAGGAAGAGGTACGAGTGTTCTCACTTCAGCCTGACATCTGGAAACCTCCCCGGGATGATGTCTTCATCAGGTTCAACATGAGTTTACTAAGGACGTCAACATCGGGCCTCAGCGAATTCACTATTTGTTCTCGGGTGTTGCTCACTGGTCTCACTACCCTACAGGTCCTCCTCTCCTACGCCACTGCTGACACCTTCGACAACGCCATCATGATGTGTGAGTTATATTTGGATGTTATAAGAGAGAACTTTGCAATGTAAGTGCCTTGAAGTTGATGAATAATTTTGAATGCACTGAATTATAGCTACCGTTGAATTCCTTTAATGAAACCTGGTTCCCACATATTCCATAGTCACTGTTTAGCCTCATCGGATTTAGCGCTTTCCTGTAAATATATAAATTATAACTAATTATGACATACTGATTATGCATCGCATATCCGAGTCTCATTTAATTTCATCTTGAAGATGTTGTGAATGGCGCACATGCTTTCCGGCTGAACAACAAGCCACAGCCGGTAATTGAGAGGTTGTCACTGCCGACGGTGGTGCGTGAGTGGCGGCACTACTGCCACGTGTTCTCCGGGGACACGTATACTGTATACATTGACGGAGTGGCACTCGCCAGTGGACCCATCCAGGTAGATGACCGCGTCCTTCAACTTAATGGCACCTTCGTCGTCGGTCAGGAACAAGATAAGATATCTGGAGGCTTCAGCAGATTCCAAATTCTCAAGGGCTACACCACTCAGATTAATATATGGAACTATGGTGTCTCCAGCAGAGATATAGAAGACATCGCTAATTGTAGGAGAAACATCCTTGGAAATGTCGTCTCCAGTGACAGAGAAAATTTTGAGCTTCTGAATGCTGTGGAAAATACAGTACCAATGTGGGAATTTTGTCACAAAGAAAAAAGATTTATCATTTTCCCAGAGGCCCAGACTTTTTCAGAGTCGGCCAAATTATGTAACCGCATCGGGTCAACCATATATACACCGTCGACCAAGAAAGAAAATCGGGACGTGAACCGGACTTTGAGGGAGGAAGACATGTGTGAACAAGAGAACCTTTGGATGGGAGTGACAGATGAGAAAGAGGAAGGTGTATGGCGAGTGCTGGGTAATAACACGATCTTGACTGATATATACTTTACTTTGGGCCAGCCAGATAACACAAGGGCAGAGAACTGCATGGTCATGGACACAAGACTTGCAGGCTGGAACGATGTTTCCTGCATAAACAATAAGGCTTGTGTATCATGCGAAGAAAAACTGCATGTCCCACTTTATTTCCGAGGCGCCTGTATGGAATCGAAAACTTCAACAATGTTCGAAGTTCTTGGCTACCTCTCTAATAAACCATTCTTTCACGGTTATTACGGACTCATGATCTTCAAGACAAGTGACAGTCACTGGGCTGCCTTTGACACTGTGTTCAACAAGACTCAGGCTGTCCTCAATATGACTTCTAACAACCTTTATCCCCTTGGCATTCATGAATGGTCACTGACAAACCCCATGTGTGATCACCCCATAGGCAGTAAGATCAACTTGAGTTTGTCCATGTGTCAAGACAGGCAGTATATGTGTGCCGATGGGCAGTGTATTGACTTGACTTCTCGTTGTGATGGCAAGGATGATTGTAAC